TTACGGACCGACGGACGCATGTCACGCAGTCGAAGTCATAGCGTCTTTTTCAAGACGTTGACTCGCACTCGTGGCTCTGCACAGTGTGTCCGCCTCGTAGGGACGCCTCAGCGCGGCCACCTGCGAGAGGGTATTTGGAGCGTCCTTCCAAGCCCCATCCATTAAAAAAAAATATATATATATAAAAATATATTTACCTCGGATTGGACATAACATTATTCTATTTCATACATTACTTTCTTGTGTTTCCAGATGAATTAGTTCAACGTTCATATAAATTTAACGGAAGACTGAATTCGATGGAATTGTCGCAAAATGGCTACATTTTGCCAAACAAAGAAAGGAAAGAGACGACAAGGCTAAACAAAAAGGAAATAACGAAAATAATGAAAAAAATAATCAACAGCATTAAATAAATTTAATATACTATATTACTCCTAAGGGATAAATAGTAAATATTTTCGTAAGCTATCGCATTTTTAGATTGATATTTCCTTTTTCAAACTTTTGATGTACCATGATAAACTTTATTCCGTCTTTTTTAATTACTATTTATATTAAACAATAATACTATTGTTTACAATGATGAAATTTGCGTGCATTTGTAACATTCTCAGTTGATCATCTGCAATAAGTCATATATAAGTAGCGAGCACATTGTTATTCTGCAAAATGTTGGAAACAAAAGAGAATAATGTATGAAATTAATGTAATAGTAAAAAATTTTGTTTCTATGTTTAGCAATATACGTTACATACTTCTAATAACTCATTATTTTTAAATCATTAATTTGGAAATTATTTCGAATCTTTCATGGCACATTTGTTTGTAAAAGTTTATTAGAAATGTATAAGTGGCGAAGACGACAGAATTCGTCCCTCGTTTATTTAGTGTGTAGACTTATAAATAAAGTTTAACGGAATAAAGTTTATCGAACCGAATTGAGAGAAGCATTGTGAAATAGCGAAAATAAAACGCAATGAAATCTGTTAGGTTTTTATTGTAAAAAACTTGTTTTTTTCTTTATTCATTTTATGTGTTTAGCAGATAAAAGAAAGCAATAAAAGAAGATATGTTCATGTTCTTTGGAAGATTGAGACTACCGCTGATTCTATCTCTAAAAAATATTACCAACATCCATAGTTTAAACCAGTGGTGCTGGGACTATTCTCTTTCGACGACAGAGACCGCATAGATCGAGGCTCGACCAGTGGGTGCTGGGATTTTTTGCAGATAGAATCTACAGTAGCTTCGGTTTTCCAGAGAACATGAATACATCTCCTTTTGACGTCCACATGATAAGCATCATGTGCTTTTAAAATATTCAAAAAAACAATTGTATTTGTATTGTAGGTTAATATGGAACTTATGCGATTTGCTACAAGTAAAAAAATTAATGTGATATGTTATTTTCTTTAGGAGATAAGTGATAAATGTTTCTATCAGCTATTACATTTTTAGTTTCGCATTTTCTGTCTAAAATTTTTGATTTACTACAATAAACTTTATTCCGTCTTTTTTAGTTTTCAATTTCTAAACATATTAGACAATAAGACTATGGTTTGCAATGATGGAATTTGATTCATTTTTTAAGAACATTTTCTATGTTTTATAAGCGTTAGTTTATATCGTAATTTGCTTGATATTACGTGTATTCGTAACAGTCTTTTTTGATTATCTGCAACAAGTTATGTAAGTGACGAGTACGGAAGGGATTCGTCCCTCACTTATTGTACTATATAGATATAATAGTATGCCCATAAGTACGGCATAAAGTTTATCGAACCGAATCGAGAGAAGCGTTGCGAAATCACGAAAATAAAGCGCTACGAAATTGTAGCGATCGTAGCGATATTAAAAATAATAAATAGAATAAGTTCAGATGTAGGATATTAAGTACATTTATATGTGACAACAACTGACGAGATGGAGAGAGAGAGAGAATTGGATGGAGAGGAGGAAAATAATGAAGGAGGGAGAGATTTCGGCGAACAGAGAGGAGATTTCGGAATTAGAGACAGACGAATCCGAACCCTGAGATTTGGTGACGAGAGGACCAAAAAAGGGAAGCATTACGTGAGGAGAGACGAGAGGCCGGTTCTGACATAATATCGGAGGCTCCTGCGGACGCAGAGGGGAAGAGGTCAACACTGGGAGGTGACCTGGCTGGTGACGACCGGAGGCTTAACCGGAGGCCGCATCTCCCGTTTTGCCGATGTACGAGATAAGGAGTTGGTCCTGGATCGGATGCGCGGAAGGTCGGATTCGTTGCTGCTCTCCCTGTCTTTCTCTCCATTGGCGAAGGTCGGAATCAATCGCTTATGTATATATTTATGTAAATTGACTCGACGTTATAGTGTGAAGCCCACTATTATAGGACGTAGGTCGTCACGTTCTATACGCATCTCCGCTGCCTGATATCAATATAAAAACCATTGTCTTAGTCGCGATCGCTCATGTATGGATAATGATAATGTCTGTGTATTAAACTTTGTTGATAATCGCTGATGCGTATTTCTCGATAACATCCACGCACCTTCATTGTCAAACCTTGTTCGATCTTCAGAACTGACCGGCACAAAATCCATCAGACGATTTTAATATTAGAAAAATTTGTTCTTTTTTTATTTATTTTATTTCTTGTGTTTAGTGGATATTATAAGAAGATATTATAAGAAGATATTATAAGAAGATATTTATATTCTCTGAAAGATTTAAACTAGTGCAGATTCTAACTCTAAAAAGATTACTAACATCTATAGTTTAGATTAGTGGACGCTGAGATTGTGTTCTTCCGAAGGCAGACTCCACATTGATTGAGGTTCGACTAGTGTAGAAAGACACAAAATGTCTTTTCTACATAACGGTCCATTCATAATCATCGATTGTTCTCGACAAAACGAATCGATCAAGAGCGCAACCGTAGACGTGAGATTGGAATTTGAGACTAAGGAGAAGATAGAGAAGAGAAGACCGATGAATACCACCGCGTACTGTCTCATTATATATGATCGTGTGATTCAAAACAATCGTTGACCAATGTACGTAAGATCACCTAAGAGCATCGCTGGTATAGAGACAATAAAATCTACGATACATCGAAATCGACTGCAGTCTCGAAAAATTGCTCGTCATGGTCGTGCCAATTTTTGTAGACCTGCAAGGTTTTCTCGTTGGAAGATAGTTTGTTGTAAAGGAGTTTGCTGCTCTCAGAGAACGGACTATTCTCTCTCACTACATTTTCACAAACCTTATACCATGGCATTTCCTCGCAACTGCCGACAAATCTCGCGCATGCTGGATGATATGTTATCACCATGGACGATGGAACGATTCCATACAGCAGAGCTAAGAATTTGATTACAAAGGCTGTGCACTGAACGAAAGATAATGACAACAACGACGATGATACTGTTGTATATGTCAAGGGACACGAAAAACAACAATGTGGAAATTGTGGAATTTGCTTTTGGACGATGAGGGAAAGCGCACGTACAACGTATGTGTCGAAACTCTGGATGCTGATTACGAAGATGTAGATTCTCTAAACAATCTGAATAATACTATGCTGATAATACTATGCGATGCGGATATCACTATACTAATTGCACTTTACAAAATGTATTTAAATTGTTTAATTGGTGATGAGATAATCATGAATAAAATAAATAAATATAATATAAATAAATATAAATATAATATACGAATTATGTTTTTTTTTATTTCTTTCCCTTGCGTTGATAATATTCTACGATCGACGTACCGCTTCTTATTATATAACGCCGAAAAGTTTATCTTGCCGAGGTGACTCATCGCGCGTCGGGCAGGAATGTAGGTCAGTATGTCGGTCATGCAGATAACAAAGAAATTGAATCACGATTTAAAAAAGTGAAAACTTTTTTTATTCATTTTTCTCGTTTTTTACATGATTTATTTGATACAAATATTTAATAATTGATTAATTGATTAATTGATTGATTAATTAACTGATGAATTGATTGATTCATTGATTAATTAATTGATACCGAGGTGCTCTCTTCTTTTTTTTTCTTTTTCATACGCGGCTGACGAAACAGTACCACATTTTCTATAATATTTTCACAGGTTCTTTTCAGGTCTACAAAAATTGGCATGACCATGACGAGCAATTTTTCGAGACTGCAGTCGATTTCGATGTATCGTAGATTTTATTGTCTCTATACCAGCGATGCTCTTAGGTGATCTTACGTACATGATGATTGCAAAAGAACAATTCATCATCATCATCATCATTGAATACATTATAACCGCTTTCATGGAAGTTTATCATGTACTCCTGTTGTCTAATGATTTCGATTGGTTTGTCCTTTGCATAGAGGATTCTATAATATTAATAAGTTGTACGCGATTCCTCGGTAATGACATACACATGCCTAGATGACATACACATGCCTCCAACAATATTTTGAGTGAAATCCAAAATTGAAGTGGGAATCGAAGGCTGTGTCTCTTTAGATTGTTGGGAGTCGGGGTGTAATGTCTTCTTAAAAAATAATCTGTCACGTTCATTGGTGGATAAGCCGTCACATTCTGTAGTGGAGAAGATGTTAATTCTTCGAGTGGATAATACCAGCACATCTCATCATCGTCGATTAATCTCGTACCACATTGTTGACAACGATTCGATATCTTGAAAGTTCTCGCCATTGTAACACAACGACATTTTTTGGAGTATTACCCCTATATAAAAAAGATTTAAAAAACTATGAGTCATCATCCTGCATATATATATATGCATATATATATATATATATATATATATGTCATCATCCTGCATATATATATATATATATATATATATATGC